AGCAATCCAAATTGAGATATTTGATGAGCAATCCAAATTGAGATATTTGATGGGACCAGGAATCCGAGGCTCGGAGCCCAGCAAAGGACTTATGAGATCAACCCCTTTAAGTCCTTCATTCTATGGGTGGAGAAATTGAGGCCCAGAAAAATTATCTAGCTCAACTCAGATCACAGTACACAGTGGTCTGGCACTTTTGTGCAAATGAGTCCCTTGCGCAAAATGGCTTGTTTTTTGTTTCCTCTCTCTGTGTGTGGGCTCCCCACCTCCAGGCTCTTATGGCCAAACTATGACATAAACTCTTAAAAGGCAGAATGATGGTTATTGGGAGGATATAAACAGAGATATTCAAATGAGGGGTGTCTCTAGACTGTCAAGATAGGAGAAGCTTTGAGATAGCATCTATTGGAAGAAGCAGCCTGGGGACTTGTTTGGAGCTCAGTTTGAATAGCATACACAGTGCTCTACTTTGGTTGGATTCTGTTTGGGGTAGTTATGATGGGAGGCTGATGATGGTTATGAGGGGGCTAAATAAAGCCCCCCTCCAAGCTGCCTCCTTGTTATTGCCACTGACCTAGACCCTGCTAATGTAAAAATAATAGAAGCAGAAATTATTTTTAACTTTTCAGGAGTTGTTAAATTCATCTTATATAAAAATTCTGCTAATTATTAACCTAAAATGGGCAATATATTGTTCTGGGCTTCCTTTATTCTGTCAGCAAACTGTGATCATAATTTATTGCCATTATTTACTGCATATTTATTTTTACAAAGTCATATTCCCAAATTAAAAAGAGGAAAATAGCATGAAAAAAATGCATTGCTTAACTAGCATTGTTAATAATAAAGATGAAAATATACTTCATTGCATTAGTTAAGACTGGGTAAAGAAAGCTCCTTTTCTAAATGCTATATTGTTTGTTCCATATTTTAAGTCAGCTTGACCTTTAAAGGCTTAATTCTGAGCACATGAGATCACCTTCAGCGTTTATACTTTATTCTCTGTCTGAACTGCAAGACTTGTGATTTTAATCTTAAGCTTCACTAGGGCTGCTTCAAGAATGTCAAAATAGAGAGAACACAGTTACATCAAAAGTGGTCTGAAACTTAAAGAAATATTTGAGGTGTGTGTGTGTGTGTGTGTGTGTGTGTGTGTGTGTGTGTGTGTAAATGACGTGTGGGAATACTGTCTAAATCTATAACTGTAGATATAGATTTTAAAGCTTTTGGCTTCTATAGGCTCAGCCGTGACTACATAAATAATTACATCATCATATAATATTGCAGCAAGCTTTCCAAGCATAAGTTCATTTTTTTTAAAGTACAAATCAGCATCTCAAGAGAAATCTCTTAACTTACAAAGCAGAGAATGCAGGAGCAGGGGCTTGAATGGAAGGGAAGTTTTCGAGCCCTATTTTGGTCAACATGAAGGGGAATGGCTTTGCCCCGTGGCTGGTGGGACAGGCTGCACTACTACACTCTCCTATGCTGGGAAATGACCGGTCAGAGCAAGTCTTCAAAAAGTTTCTCTAGTTGCCTGGAATCCTGGGAAATAATCCTAGCCCACTTTATAGAAAAAAATTCACACGTCGTTCTCTGGCATCATACCCGTTAAGTCTTTTTTTTTTTTTAGAGTCAGATGCCTTATCTTTAAAATGTGGCAATAAAATAGACTTTTCTCACTGGTAGCTTGGAGAGTCATAATAAAGCACTTTGTAGGAAAAGATTGCAATGGTGTGTAAAAAGGTCAAGTCTTATCAAGCAGAAAGTAATCAATTGATGGAACATATTAGCAAAAAACTGAGCCTCCTTCTCTGTGCTTAGCACTCTGCTAG